CACGCGAAAGGAATTTCGAGCTCGGTCGTAAGAAGCTTTGCAATACGAGTCGAAGCATCGGAGGAGGAGAACGAGGAGGAGGGGAAGGAGGGGGGCGAGGGACACAGCGCCGTGGCATTGTTTTCGCGAGAGTGTCGTGAGCCTTTTGAGCTTTCAGAGTGAGGGTCTCAGGGCAATGAGCCTTTGAGAAAGTTCTCGGGCAATGAGTTTCCGAGCAGAGAGTTTCAGGGCAATGAGTTTCAGAGCATTCAGCTTCACATCAATGGGTTTCAGAGCAATGCGTTTCAGAGCAATGAGTTTCAGAGCGATGAGTTTCCGAGCAGTGAGAGTTTCAGGGGGCATGAGTTTCACAGCAATGAGCCTTTGAAGGCCTCAGAGCAATGAGCCTTTGAGGAAGTTCTCGAGCAATGAGCTTCAGAGCTGACCACATCTCCACGCACAGTGCAGACGTGCTCCAGCAAAGCTCTGGGACGAAAGAGTCAATCGGCGCGCGTCCATGCAAGCGACGCCTACCGTCATCTTGCCACGCATTGCTTTTGCAGTGCAATCGACGGGGGCATAATATTACAACTGCGCTGGAACAGTGGGGCGCGGCCGCTGCCCCGTCATGCCTCGCATGCGTGGGCAGGCGCACACGACACCAGATGGTTTACACGTTTCGCAATGGACGCAAACGCCAGCAGTCATATGAAGATTTCTGTGTTGGGGGTATTCAGCGGTCAGCAATCCATTGGGACGAACGGCATGAGCAGCATGAGCAGAAGCTGAACGGCATGAACGTAAGCTGTCGGCGCTCAGCGCGGACCTCTTGGATTTACGCTGGGGCCCCTTCGGCGGCGCCCCCGGCGCTACCCCTGGCGCGCTCCGCGCGCCGCGGAGGGGGTCCAGCGCAGATCCAAGAGTCTGCGCGGATCGTCGACAGTTTCTGTTTCTGTAGTCTTCTCTTCCTCCAGACTCGAGAGTTCTCGGTGTCGCCATGGACGGAAGCCCTGTTGGCCTGCCAACTGCCGATTCGACGTCTCCCGCCTCGGCTGCCGACCTCCGCCGACCCGACTCACGTCGGGCGCAGGTGCGATTTGTGGGTTCGGTTCTGGGCTCCCCCTGCCCTGGTCGCCACAGCCGGGCGCTGCTCGGAAGGCCTGTTCGGAGGGCACCAACTATACACCAACACCGATCCTGGCCCAGGATCACCCTGGGCCCAGGATCGGTGTATATGCCTTCTTGCGCAGGGCAGGAGGGCGTATACACCGATCCTGGGCCTAGGGTGATCCTGGCCAGGATCGGTGTTGGTGTATAGTTGGTGCCTTCCTACCTGTGGGGGCGGCGTCAGGGTGCGGCGCGGCGAATCGTGACCCAGTGGTCCGACCCTCAGATCCGGGAGTCGCAGTTCTCGCACAGGTTCGGGCCCACGGACCATCGCAGATCGAGCCGGCTCGGAGAATGCAGCAGGAAGATGGGGCCCCGTGCTCTGGCCGTGATTTTTCGAGATGTTGCATGTGTTTTTGTGTTCTTTCACAACGTCGGATTTGAACGGATGTATTGGTTTTCGTTTGCACGGGCTCCCCAGACGTCCTGGGATCCAGATGTCCCGACATTTTTCTGTAGGGCCGTCTTTTCATCCCGAGTTAATTACTTTGACGACGGTCCCAAAAACGGCGATGGCCCGTAGAGGTAAGCATCTGCTAAAATTATCCCAGTGCGACCCTACCTAGGAGTTGGAGCATTCAGGGAAGCAACATCTACACCGACACCTACAGATACATTTGCTGTGCTGTTGCTGCTGTTGCTTTGCCTTTGCTTTGCCGCTATGCTATGCTATGCTATGCTATGCTATGCTGCGCTATGTTATGCTATGCGTTGCTATGCTGCGCTATGCTATGTTATGCTAGGGTACGCTCGGCTGCGCTGTGTTATGCTAGGCTTTGCTATGCTATACAATGCTGCACTATGATATGCTATGCTATGCTATGCTATGCTGCACTATGCTATGCTATGCTATGCTATGCTGCGCTGTGTTATGCTTTGCTAGGCTATGAAATGCTGTGTTTTGTTGCGCTATGGTATGCTATGCTATGCTATGCTATGTCGCGCTATGCAAATGCCATGATATGATATGTTGTGTTATGCCATGCTATGCTATGATGCGCTGTGCTATGCTAAGCAATGCTATGTTATGAATTGCTATGCTATGATGCGCTATGTTATGTTATGCTATGCTATGCTGAGCTATGCTAAGCTATGCGCGGCTATGCTATGCGATGCTATGCTGTGCTGATGCTGCGCTGCGCTATGCTACGGTAAGGTAAGCTATGCTAAGCTAAGCAAAGCTAAGCTAGGCTAGGCTAGCCAAGCCAAGCCAAGCTAAGCTAAGCTAGGCTAGGCAACGCTAAACTAAGCTAAGCTAAGCTAAGATGAGACAAGCTAAACTAAGCTAAGCTAAGCTAAGCTTAGCTAAGCTAAGCTGGGTGAACCCAGGGGGCGCAACTGGGGGAACCGCGGGGCGGATACTGGGGGAACCGCCCGGGGCGATTTCCACTGCCCGGCCCCTTTAAGAAAGAGAGTAAGAACCCTCTAGGCAGAGCCTAGGTAGGGAACTTTTCGTATTGCGAAGGTATTATGGTTGGTGCCGCCGACCCTGAAGTGGGATGACTACGACAACGGCGGCAGCGACGTCGACAACGCTGACGTGGGCCAGGGTCCTCAAGGAGGCGTTCGGGGGTCTCTTCGGAAGGCTTTCAGGAGCCTCTGGGGAAGAATTTTGGAGCCTCTTGGGGGTCTCGCGGGAGCATTTCGAAGGCCTCTTCGGGTTTCTTGGGGCCTCTTGTCGGCCTCTTGGGGCCTCTTGGGAACCTCTAGGGGCCTCCTGGGAGCCTCTCGGGGCCGAGGGCTCGAAATGTCCGCGTTCGGGTCCCCCCGCCGTCTGGGTACGCTCTTGGAGCCGTCTTCGGAGCGGCTTGGACCGTCTTGGAGGCGGTTTGGGCTGTCTTGGGGTCCTCTTGTGTTGTTTGGGGGTCCTCTTGGAGGCCTCTTGGGCCGTATTGGGGCGATATTGGGGGCCTCCCTCCCTCCCCTCCCTCCACTCCCTCCCCTCCCTCTCTCCCCTCCCTCCGTCCCTCCCCTCCCTCCCTCCCTACCCTCAGCCGTCAGGAGCGTGGACGGTGTCGTGCAGTGCCCCATGAGCTCGTGAGTGCTCACTTCCGGAGGGGGGAGGAGGCCAAGTGCCTGCAGGGCGGCGGTAAATGCGACTCAAGACTTCTCGTGCGAGCTTTTCTCATATCCATGCACGAGCTGATAGAGGTCGAATTTTCTGGGTATGCCAGCGAACGCTTCTATCATACCCTCCTCCCTGCCTGGCCTCAGACCCGTCCTCCACTCCAAAGGGCAGCATTGGCCGCCTAATCTGAGCAGCAGCAGCAGCAGCAGCAGCATGGGAAGAGGGGGGCGCACACGACGGTTTCCGCTCTTGGGCCCGTCTTTCGGGCTCTTTTGAGGGATTTTTGCATATCTTGGGCACGGCCTTCTTGGCGTGGGGGCCTCTTGGGCCTTCATTGGCCAGCTTGGGGGGCCTCTTGTTTTTCCCAAACCATCCTGTGGTGTTGGGTCCTCGTTTTGAAGAGACAGCGCCCCGCGTCACTCCTCCTCCTCCCGCTGCCCCCATCCCCCTCCTTCCCCTCCTTGCCTCTGCTCTCCGCATGTCCATCATTCCGGCACACCCCTCGCAAGTCTTCGTGGCCCCATAGGGAGCCCCACCGAAGGCCCCCGCGGCAGGGTGCGCATGCGTCCCCCCGCCCTTCTCGGCACGCCCCTCACGAGGATCGTGGCCCCATAGGGAGCCCCACCGAAGGCCCCCGCGGCAGGGTCCGCATGTGCCCCCCCGCCCATTTCGGCACGCCCCTCACGAGGATCGTGGCCAATACAGCGCTCCACCGAAGGCCTCCGCGGCAGGGTCCGCATGTGCCCCCCCGCCCACTTCGGCACACCCCTCACGAGGGTCGTGGCCCCGTAGGGAGCTCTACCGAGAGCGGTACCCACAACGCGGCACTCACAAGTGCATATGGTTGGACCCTTCGCCAGGATAAAATTTGTTTGGATTCCAGAAGCACGACGGGTAACCCGAACGTCATGCAACAACGCATTGGGGGCTCTCGGGGCATCTTGGGCCGTCCTGAGGCCATCTTGGGTGATCTTGAGGCCTCTCCGGCGCGTTGCAGCATCTCCGGAGCCATCTTTGAAGGCATACCGGGTATCCCAGCGGCCGCGAGAAGTGGATTTCAAGGCTCTGGCTGCGCCAGACGTGCGCTCCGTTCACACGGGATCGTGGATCTGGACGCCCGATATGGGTACGGAAAGAATGGGTACAATGCCCAACAGCAGTTCCTGTTCATTTTGAGCAGGACTCGCTGTCCGCGCCACCGCGGCCTGTGTCCATTTGAGGCAGAAGGCCGCCTGCCCAACAGCGGCCGCTGTTGGTTTGGGACAACATTTGTTGTTGGGCATTGTACCCATTTTTTCCGTACCCACTTCGGGCGTCCAAAGTGGATTTTTGGGAGGGGGAGGCGGGGAGGGGGGCAGTCCCCTGCTTCACACGCGCCGTTGCGCCTCACCCGCGCAGAACGTGCCAGGCGGATCTCTCTTGCGGAGACCTCCCGAGCGTTGCCTCACGTCGAATACGAGTTTACGTCGTAAGATTCCTACGACGAATATTCGCGATCACGATCTCAAGAGTTTACGAATACGAGTTTACGTCGTAAGAGTTCACAATCTTGCGAAGATCTCTACGTCGAGTACGAGCACTGGCATAACGTGAACTTCCTGAGCTCCTCGCGGACCTCTTGGATCTGCGCTGGACCCTCCTGACGGCACCTCCGACGCCGCCCCCGGCGCGCCGCGCGCGCCGGCATGGGATGCCCGGCGCCGACGCAAGACGTCCGCGTGGACCCCCGAAAGATTTCGTAGCAGTTGCCAGCTTGCCTCCCGCTCTTGTCCACCGCTGTTGCCAGGTTCTGCAGACCCTCCAGCAGCACAAGCGCTCCGAGGCGGAGGCGCGGGCGTCGGGCAAGGAGGGGCGGCGGGACACCAAGAAGAAGAGTGCGGCAGGCTCCGCGCGCGGGGGGCGCCGTCCTCCCCCCCGTCCTGGCCCTGACGTTGCATTTTTTTCTCCTTCCCCTCTCGTCCCTCCCCCCCCATCTCTCCTCCTCGCGTCTCCGCCCTCTCTCCCCTGCTTCTCCTCCACCTTTCCTCCTCCTCCTCCTCCTTCTCCGCAATCGCCGTTTTACCCCGTCTCCGTCGTTGCTCGGTGCGCGTGCTGCTCTCGTCTCTCCCCCGAGAGTGCGCGCGTGCGCTCCCGCCTCCTCCCGCGTGCTGCGTTCGCGCATCGGATTCCAGGAGCTCGTTTTTTTGTGGAGGGCTCCGTTCCATTGGAACGTCCCCGATCCTTCCAACGCGCTGCTCCCTCTGGATCGACGCTGGTCCCCCGCGCGCGAAGAGCGCCAGAGGCGGCGTCGCCAGAGCGGTGCAGCACAGATCCGAGGGATCCGCGCGGATTCCCGAAGGCTTATGTTCGTGAAGGTGTCGCTTCTTTGGTTCCCTCCCTCGTGAAACGAGCTGAAGCTGAAGCTGAAGACCCAAGACGTCCGCGCGGATTCTTGGAGGGTTTACGTTCGTGAAAGGGGTCTCTTCTTCGGCTCCCTCCCTCACGAAACGAGCTGAAGCTGAAGCTGAAGACCCAAGGCACCCGCGCGGATTCTTGGAAGGTCTACGTTCGTGAAAGGGGTCTCTTGTTCGGTTCCCTCCCTCGCGAAACGAGCTGAAGCTGAAGCTGAAGACCCAAGACATCCGCGCGGATTCTTGGAAGGCTTACGTTCGTGAAGGGGTCTCTTCTTCGGTTCCCTCCCTCGTGAAACGAGCTGAAGCTGAAGCTGAAGACCCAAGACATCCGCGCGGATTCTTGGAAGGCTTACGTTCGTGAAAGGGGTCTCTTGTTCGGCTCCCTCCCTCACGAAACGGGCTGAAGCTGAAGCTGAAGGTCCAAGACATCCGCGCGGATTCTCGGAAGTGCTGTGCTCGTGAAGGTGTCTCTTCTTCGGCTCCCTCCCTCGCGAAACGAGAGCTGAAACTGCAGCGGCAGATCCACATTCCAGGGCCGACGCTCTGCCTCCCGTCCGTCAAAGAGAGAGGTGCTCCCGCGCCCGCCATCACCGGCGCGGGTGCACCCGTGGTCGAAGATTGGCCCAATCCAGCATGATCCCGTACGGTTTGCGGAATCCCGCTCAATCTTGCCTCATGTGGTTGTCGAGTCTTGGGCTGAATCTGGGCTTGATCGCCTTATAATGCCCCGTGAATCGGGCTCATCTTGCTTCATGGGGCTTATCTAATTCTGGGCTCAATTTGGGCCTGATCGGCTCATTTTGCCCCGTGGATCGGGCTCAGAGTCGGCCCGCAGAGTGAGGATGAACAGTGTTCCAAGACCCTTGCATCCTTCCCCTTCGGCCCATCTTTGGCCGCTTTAGCTGGCCTCTCCCCGATCGCAAAGTAACGACGTGGCCTTCCCCAAGGCCCTTGCATCCGTATCGTGTTTCCTCATTATACAGGTTGACTGTACTAGCTCTAACTGTTCTTACGAAGACCTCCCAGGAGTTGCCTCGGAATTGCTCGACTTTGATTAGGACTCTGGCTCTGGTCATCATCCTCCTTCTCTGCCTGCTTGTCCGCCTCCTGCCCCTCCCCCTCCGCTCATGTACAGCAGCCCTCCTGGCCGCTTGCGCAGCAAACGATGGGTCATGCTAGCTCCCGCAACTGGCACATCAGGATCTGGGTCATCGATGACACCATTCGGCGGATAGAAACGGACTCACTTCTTCAGTGTCTCTCGTAGTATTTTCTCACGTGCTCCTCATTCTGTCGAGGTGGCATTCGGCGCATGCCGCATCGTGCCGGAGTAGTGTCCGCGAGGCTCATCAGAAGCATCTCGAGGTGTCTCGGAGGGCCTCTTGGGGCTGATCGGCGGCCGCTTGAAGGCCTGATAGGGGGGCCTCCTGGTGGCGTCTCGCGGGCCTCCAGGAGCCTGTGGGGGGCCCATCTGGGGCCTGGAGACCGTCCCGAGGACAATGCTGGGGCGTGGGGCCCAGATGCCCCCCTCTCGAGCGCCTCTTGGGGGACTTGTCGGGCCCCTCTCGGCAGCACCTTCGGGGCCTTTTCGGGCCCTCTTGCAGGCCTCTGCTGGGCCGTCCTGGACGCTCTGCAGACCGAGCAGGCGAGCGGGCGAAAATTCTCCTCCTCCTCCTCCTCCTCCTCCTCCTCCTCCTCCTCCTCCTCATGCGAATACGTGTGTACTTACATGATTTGGGCGTCTCGGGACGGCCCCAGGGCCTCCAGGATGACCCGAGAGGCCCCCAAGTAGGCTCCAGGACGGGCTGGGGGGCCAATCTAGGGCACGCGGGAAATATACGGACGCTTGACCACGCCAGGGCCTCGGGAAGAGCACCCCGGCCAACCGCGTCACGCCCTCCCTGACCGACCGCGTCTCGCGCCTTACCCCTCCCTCCCCGACCGCGTCTCGCCACCCCAACCGACCGCGTCTCGCCCCCCCAACCGACCGCGCCTCGTTCCTCCCTGCTCCCCTCCCCAAGGACCCAAGAGTCGCGCGGGGACCTCGCACCTGCACCGATCCTGGCCCGCGGGTCCTTCCCGGGCCTGGGATTGGGGGGGCTGGGCCGATCCCGGTCGCAGGATCGGTGCGCACGCCCAAGCCAAGGGGGCGTTCACGGATCCCAGAACCGCGACATGATGGGCTTGGCTTGGCAAAAGGCCAGTGCTGGTGCACAGTCGGCGCTATTGGCAGTCCTGTGTTCTGCTCGCTGCTTCATGGCCCCCAGGCCCTTCTCGGGCCCCTGGACCGTCAAGAACGCCGACCCAGGGTGGACAGCTGGTGCCATGAGAAGCCCTGGGCCCAGGGCCCGCTTCCATCCGCTTCTTTCCCAGGCCCTGAGTCCCCTGCCACGAGCAGGTGCGCAGTTGCTGTCGGAGCCAAGCGTCCCGTGCAGTCTGCGTGGCCGCCCTCCTGCTTCACGCGTCTGCCAGCCTTCGTCCGAGCGGCCCCTTCGTTCGAGGTGCCGGTGTGTGTGTGTACACCCTAGGCGATGCTTAAGAAAACCTAAGTTTTCGTCCAGAGTCTCGATTATTCTTAACTTTCCAATGTAAATCCCAAGATTTTGATAGAAGTTCTGGGTTTTATTCAATTTCTGAGACTATGAATTTCTTAACCCATGATTTCTTAAGCATTTCGCAGGGTGTAGAGCGCAGGGCAGGGACCGGGGGGGTGGGGGGGATGCGGGGGGGGAGGAGGGAGCGAGGGTGGGCAGAGCGGAGGCGCAGATCTAGAAGCGTTGCCTTTCGGTCCCAGCTCCCCGCTCGAGGAGGCTTCAGCCACGCAGTGGCGAAGCTTCCTGGCTCGCCTATAGGCCTACCCAACAATGTTCTAAGAACCTTTTGTGGTTTCCACGAAATGTTCTTAGAACATTTCTGGCGGAGTCTGTCTTGTTCCCTACCTAGGCTCTGCCTAGAAGGGTTCTTACTCTGTAGCTTAAAGGGGCTGGGCAGTGGAAACCGCCTCGGGCGGTTCCCCCAGTCCCCTGGGAGCCAAGCAAAAGCAACAGCAAAGGTAATAGCAAACGCGCGGTTCCCCCAGTTGCGCTCCCTGGGTGCCAAGCAAAAGCAAAAGCAAAGGTAAATATGAAGGCAAAAGCGAAGGCAAAACAACAACATAACATAGCATAGCATAGCATAACATAGCATAGCAGCATAGCATAGCGCAGCATAGCATAGTATAGCATAGCCTAGCCTAGCCCAGCACAGCATTGCGCAGCATAGCATAGCATAGCATGTTGCTACTCATGTTGCTTTCCTAGAGGCTCCAACTCCTAGGTAGGGTCGCACTGGGATATGTTTAACACATCGGGCTTTTGTTCTAAGAACATTTTTTGTTCTTATAACATTTCTGGGTTCTAAGAACACTTCGTGGTAGGACTATAGGAATGCCGGGACGGTCGGTCCCTGCTCAACAAGCCCGACATCCCGGGAGCCATCGGGTTGCGTCCAGTGGCGACGCGAGCCTCTTGAGACGCTTGACGACTTAAACAGACGACGGCGTCGTCCTCCCCCTCGACGTTCCAGCTCGATCCGATCCATTCGAATCGATGCCGATTCGGGCCAGCCCGATCCGAGTCGAGTCCGATACTCCGAGGATTCGGTGCGGCCCGTTGCCTGCATGGCGCTGCTGTGCATCCTGACGCGGCTGATCCGGTTCGATGTTGGCTCCGTGCCGACGCCGCCCGATTCGATCCGATTTCCCGATGCGGTGTTGACTGCATGTGCATGGGAAGGGGAGGAATACGGAAGGAGGGGTAATTGGGAGGAAACGAGGAGGAGGGGAGGATGAGGAAGAGTCGAGATGATGGTCGATCCGACGCAATTTCGAGCTCTGTCCGATTCCCCGATTCGGTGATGACTGACCCTGCGCCGATCAGCGAGAGGAGCTTGACAGATCTCCGACGAGATGATTTGTTCAGTCCCAACTGTCTTCCTCGATCCGGGTCTCCCAGCCAGGCGTCGGGCCCTGGGACCATGTAAAACGGATTCGGGACGTCACATTAACTGCGCATGGAACAAATACTTCGTCGGTAAGTTTGTCCCGCCGTTCCCAGGGAACTCGCACACGCCCCTCAGCATGCTGAAAAACGAGGACGGCCCTTCTTGGGCGGCTGGGCCGGGGAGTGATGTCGCAGTCGTCGTCGTCGTCGTCGTCGTCGTCGTCGTCGTCGTCGTCGTCGTCGTCGTCGTCGTCGTCGTCGTCGTCGTCGTCGTCGCCGTCGCCGCCGCCGCCGCCGCCGCCGCCGCCGCCGCCGCCGCCGTCCGCCGCCGCCCTCGTCCGTCGCCGTCGAGGCCATTGTCGCCGCCGTCGCTGGCCCGCGCGCGCCTGGGCACGCCGAGGGCCCGCGGGCCGCCCCTGCGCGGCGGCGGCGGCGGCGGGCCTCTCCTGCCCCGCCTCCCTCGGGGCGGACGAGGGGGCAGGATGGGGAGAGGGGGGGGTGCGGCCTCTCCCCGCCCCCCCTCGGGGCGGACGAAGGGGCAGGATGGAAAGAGGGGGGGGGGGCTGCCTCGGGCAGCTGGCTTCCGCCCCGCCGCCATGCCCACTCCTCCATTCATGGGCGCCTCACTGGGCCAGGAGGCGCCAGGAGAGCCAGCTGCGTGAGCTGGTTCTCTCTGCGTATACCCGTGGCCCCTCTTCTATCCTCTCCTTTTTCCTGACGAGGAGAGGAGGGAAGTTCTCACAGGCCTTTTTTGTAAGGAGGAAGAGGAGGAGGAGGAAGAGGAGGAGGAGGAGGAGGAGGAGGAGGAGGAGGAGGAGGAGGAGGAGGAGGAGGAGGAGGAGGAAGAGGAGGAAGAGAGGAGGAGGAGGAGGAGGAGGAGGAGGAGGAGGAGGAGGAGGGAGGCACGGAGGAGGAGGAGGGGGAGGAGGAGGAGGAGCAGGAGGAGGAGGAGGAGGAGGAGGAGGAGGAGAAAGAGCGCCGTGTGAGCTTTGCTATCCTGCCTTTTCGTCCCCCCCCCTGACCCTCGCCCACTTTCTTGGCGCAGGCCGCGGTGCGGGCGAAGGGCTCGTGGCGCCAGTTGTGCCCGCGCACGCGCGTGCCTGGCCGGGCAAGCCAACGCCAGAGCTCGGAGAAGCTGTGGAATTACCCATACTGTTACACTTCGCCCGTTTTCCATCTTTTTGGGCCTCTTGGGAGGCCCTCGTCGCCACCGCTGGATTCGCCCCGAAATTCAAGTCAGAACGCACCCTGGGAGAGGTCCGGGTACCTTTTGGGGTTTCCCCAAGCCCTGCCTGGACCTGTTCCTCCCTGATCCTCCCGAACCTAGCCCCACCACCACCCCAGCAAGGCGAGCATCAGAACGCGGAGAGGCTGGCGCCCGCGCGGCAAGGCGGGAGAGACCCCCGCGGGTCTCTCCTCCGGAGGCGCCGCCGGGGGGCCCCAGCGCCGATCCGACAAATCCGCGCGGACCTCCAGGTTTTTATGTTTATGCCACTTGTTGCTCCCCTATTTTGTGGTCTGCACGAGGTGTTCTTAGAGCATATCTGGCTGAGTCTGTTTTCTGCTCAACCAACAAACATGGGGCCGTGTTCTCAGAGCATGGTTTTTGCTCTCAGGATATGTGGGAGTTCTAAGAACATGTCGTGGCAGGCCTATAGGCATGCGGAACGGTCGGTCCCTGCTCACAAATTTGGGAGGGCCCAGTCTTGACCTGGGGCGTGCCACAAAAGGGCCTTGCCTTCGAGGATCGAAGGAGTTGCCATCTCTTCCTCGGCTGAAGGCGGCGGACGTAAAACGAGGGTGCCTCCGAGGGCGGAAGCCGGCGGGAGGCGGGCGGAAGCAAAAGTCGACCTCCCAATCGACGAACAACGTTTTTGGGCTCAGGGTTCCGAAGTCCGCCACCTGTTTCTAGAAGGCCACTATCTGGAGCCTATGCCGAATACCGTTCTCACCTTCTGGCCACAAGCGTCTGGGGATACTCTGGGTGTCACTACACATACAGACACATTCGGAGTGGACGCGTCTATGGCAACTGCGGCTGTTGCGTTCGGCGCAGTGCAATGTCGGAGAGAGGGTAGATCTTTCTACGGTGTGCTCCTGCTCTTGAGCAGGTGCCACACGGTATCCCAACCCAAGATTGAAAGTGTCGCCGGATCTGCGAACATATCTATACATACATATATATATGTATGATAATGATGTTATTGGACCTGTGAGCATTCGGCATCTTGTGTAGCTTAGACGTAACAGATAAACAACACATGGTGGGGAGGCATCAGTTCTGTGTAGCCCCGCGCAGAGGCGGGCATGGGGAGGGGGGATGGCTTCTTACAAGCACCCCTTCTTCTTGGAAGGCGCTGGCCTTCTCTATAGATGTAGGGTCGGCGCCTTCTAGGAAGCAACCTCCTAAGAAGCCTTCCCCCCTCCCCCCACCCCCTTGTGCGTGCCGCCGGTCTGTAGTCGACCTCCTGCTCGAGCCATGGGGAGGCCGCCGCCAGGCCAGGCGCACTGTCGCGGCGGGAAGGTTCGGGCAGTGGACCCCCCAGAGGGCCGGCGCCAGCAGGAGGGCCCCCCCCCTTCGGAGGGGCGCCAGCACGAGCGCCAGCAGCAGCGCCTCGTTATGTCGAAGAACTAAAAAAACTCGCCGGCGACTTTCCTCCCCCGATCCCCGATTTCCGCCCGAAAAATCTGGCCGCTTGGAAGAATGGGGAAACCCTGGGATACACCGCAAGGTGGCTGCTCGGACGCACCCCTCCCGAGGATAGGACGCCCCCCATCGTATATGCCAGGGTTGGTCCCAAGTTTTGTTGTCCATCCGCGAATCCCACGAAGCCTGGCATAGGGGGTCGATCTATCCCTTGTTTAAAGCGGCATGAACATAAGCTGTCGACGCTCAGCGCGGATCTCTCGGATCTGCGCTGGCCCCCCCTGGCGGCGCCTCTGGCGCCGCCCCATGCGTGCTCCGCGCGCCAGGGAGGGGCAGATTGCGGGAATCCAAGAAACCCGCGCGGGCCGATGAAAGCTTATGCGGATGCCGTTTTTGTTCCTCTACCCAGGGCTGTCAGCGTCGCGGATGGCGCTTGCGCGTGCTGCGGGGCAGCCCCGAGGCAGCTGCAAGTGGCAGCCCCACAGCGGCCTTTGCCGAGCGCGGCGACGTCACGAGACCAGGCGCGCGGCACGGCACGGAGGCCGCTCCGGAGGTCGACCCTCTCCCCGGCGCCAGCTCGGCCTCCCGAGCCGTTCTGCTCTGACGCCAGCCGAGAGGCCAGGCGGGGGCTCCGGGAGGGCGACAACCAGATGTTTCCATACGTTGAGGGTCTCGGGCGGGTCGTAGCGGGGGGTGTCCCAAGGGGGGGTGAAGAACACGGCCCCAGAGGGGCCCTTCAGGGCCCCCTTTGGAGCCAGCTGTGCCCAAAAGGGGCCCCAAAGGGTACATGCACGGCCTTTCTCTTCACCCCCCCCTTTGGGTCACCCGACATCCCCCAATACCACCCGCCCGAGGGTCTGGGTAGTTGGCGCGAGGCGCAGACGGGGTTGCTGGAATCAGGAACGCTACGTCAGGAACGACGCCCCTGGCTTGGGCGCCAGCAGCGCCGGGGTGCACCAGGAGTGCCAGAGGAACGACCGCGGAGTGGCACGAGGAACAGCGAGCCCCTTCCCGCGCCCAAAGCAGTCTTCATCCTAGCGTCCTGGCTGCACCGCACTGCCCGCACCGCCCGCCTGTCCGTCGAGATTCGGCCAGCGGTGCATTGCGTGGGCGCGTCGGCGGTCACGGCCGCCGGCGTGAACGGCGCCCGGCGTGCGAGGCTGCCCACCGGCGGGGCGAGCTGCGGGGGCTCCGCTCGTCGGCACGGCGCGCGGCGTCGCCGAGCAGCGCTGCCGCCTGCAAGAGCTGCCCGCCGCACGCAGGTTCCAGGAGAGCAGGAGGGGAGGGGGGGGAAGGCGAGGTGGGAGAAGCTGGCGAATGCGGAGCGACACGTTGGAACGATGATGGCGACGACGACGATGATGGTGATGCTGGTGCTGATGGTGGTCTGTATGGTGATGTTGTGGAATGGGATGTTGATGATGATACTGCTGCTGCTGCTGCTGCTGATGATGATGATGATGATACTAACGATACTGATGATAACGATGATGGTCTTGATGATGCTGATGATGATAGGGGTGACAATGAGGAGGTGGAGGAGGAGGAGGATGAGGATGATGAGGATGATGATGATGAGGGCGATGATGAGGAGGATAGCTAGTGAGGATGAGGTTGAGGATGATGAGGATGATGACTGTGAGGATGGGGGTGAGGATGGTGATCCTGATGATGCTCATGCTCATAATGATGAGTGAAACGATGCTGATACTGATGATGCTGATGATGATGAGGAGGAGGATGAGGGATTGATGCTGATGACGCTGATGCTGATGATGGTTCTGATGATGATAACTAACTTGAGCTTGTGATAATGATGATGATGATGACGACGATAACGATGATGATGATGATGATGATGCTGATGATGATGATGATGAGGAGGATGAGGATGAGGATGAGGATGAGGATGAGGATGATGATGATGATGATGATGATGATGATGGTGGTGATGATGATCATGATGATGAGGATGATGGTGATGCTGATGTTGATGATGGTGCTGATGGCTATGTTTATGTTGATGCTGATGCTGATGCTGATGCTGACCACTAGGATGACGAGGATGGCGATTCAGATGAAGGTGCTTATATGGCCATTATGAACATGATCATGTTCACGACGATCATGATGATGATTACGATGATGATGAGGAGGAAGAGGAGGTGGAGGAGGATAATAATGAGGCCGAGAAGGAGGAGGAGGAAAGGCAGGAGGGAGACGCTGTCAAGGCATGTAGTGGAGGGAGCAGGCGAGCGGGAGGACGGAGACGAGGAGGGATGAGCACGGCCGCGTCTGGATCTGACGACACGGCCGTCGGTATCGAGCACGGTGCACAGAGGGGGACCACGAGGAGGGAGGGCTCCCCGCCCCCCCCGCCCCCCAACATCTCGTCTCACCTCCCCTACTGCTTCTCCTCCCTCCCTCGTCCTCGTCTCGGGGAACAGAGACGTAGGCATACAAACTCGGAGCCCCGCGCGGTTCTTCTCGATCGGCGCTGGAGCCCCTTCGCGGCGCCTCCAGCTTCGCCCGTGGCCCGCTCCGATCGCCAGGGGGGGGTCCAGCGCCGATCCAAGAAATCCCCGCGGACCTCCAAGAAATTCTAGACGCTTCGCGTATCCCCACCAGCCCGTCCAGAAACGACGCCCAGGCGAGTAGAGGGTCGTCCTGAGGGGCTTTTCGGCGTCTTGGGTGCCTCGGGGGGGGCTCTGTGGGCCGTTAGGGATCCTCTTTGGGGCCTCCTGGGGGCCTCTTGGGGCCTCTTGGGGCCATCTTGGGGCCTTTGGGGGCCTCCTGGGCGCTTCTTGGGGCCTCCTGGGCGCTTCTTGGGTGCCTCTGGAGGTCTCTTGGGGCCTCTTGGGGGTCTCTTGGGGGCCTCCTGGGGGCCTCTTGGGGGGCCTCGGAGCCATCTTGGAGGAGATCGATCAACGAAGGGGGGTTCCCTAATTACAGTCCCCCCCTCAGGAGCCACGATCCTCGTGAGTGGTGTCGAATTTTAGCCCTCCCAGGGGTCGTTCTTGGACGCTCTAACTACCCGCGGCCCCCCCTGTCCAGGTCAGTGGGGAGGGGGTAGGGGGAGGGGTAAACCCCTCCCCGAAGGGGAAGAAGGAGGGGTGGAAGAGGAAACGCTCTAAACCACCGACGCCCAAAGGGCTGGTGGGATTATGTCTCTATATGTTGTTCGGGTTCTCTCCCGTCCACGTCACCGTCATCTCCTTCTCCTCCGCTGCCCCTCTCACCCGCCCGTCCGCCCTTCGTCGTCGCCGTTCTCCCCCTCTCCGTCGCCCTCCTCCTCGGTCGTGGCTTGCTGCCTCTCCGCCTGCGACGCGTGCCACCGCCCCGCGAAGGACCGGCTCGAGAAGATCATCCGGGGCAAGGACCCAAAGAACGAGGCAGCCCCAGCCCCAAGGAGGGAGGAGTAGGAGGAGGAGGAGGAAGAGGAGGAGGAGGAGGAGGTGGAGGAGGAGGAGCAGTAGGAGGATGAGCAGTAGGAGGAGGAGGAGGAGGAGCAGGAGGAGCAGGATGAGCAGGCCGGGGAGGGAGGAGCCCAGGCAGCTCCTCCTTGCGTCGAGCGGCGGCGGGCGGCTTGCGGTCCCTCTTCGACGACACGCACGAGCGACCCTTCGCCGGAGTGACCTGCGGTGCTGGCTCTCCGGGGGGTCCCCCGGTCGCCGAGCCCGATGCGACAGTAGCTCGGGGGCCCCCAAACGGTGCGGTGACCACACCGTGTGGTGAGTCGGTGGGGATTCGGGGTCACCGCACGGTTTTGGGACTCGGGTCGTCCTCCGAGGATGTCTCGGGCGACTGGAGCCTCCAGGGTCCCAAAACCGTGCGCTGACGGACCGTGCGGTGAGGTCTTGGGGGATTTCGAGGTCACCGCACGGTCTGTCACCGCACCGTTTTGGGACTCCCAAGTAGCGTCCTGCGCGCACACGTAAGAGCGGCCCTTCGCCAGAGTGACCTCTTGTGCGGGCTCTCGGGGGTCCCCCGATCGCCGAACCCGATGCGATGGTAGCGTCTTGCGCGCCCGGGTTTGGCCCCCCCAAAGCCGCGCACCAAAGGTCGCCCTTGCCTAGGGCCACTCTTGCGTGTAGCCGATCTTTCGGCCTCCGTAGGCACCTACCCGACCCCAGGGCCGTCAAAAGCATCTCAGGATAGAAAGCCGGCGCCTGAGGGAAGGGGTCTAGACCTCAGCGGTGCACGCCGTGAGAAGTCACGACTTCGGAGGTCTGGGAGCGAGGGGAGGAAGGATTAGAGGAGGATACGGACCAGGACAGCCCTGGGGATCGAATTGGAGCATGAGACGGCATGGAGGGAGGTCGGAGGTTTGCAGCGGTCCATGGAGGTACGGACGTCCTCGGAGTGTTCCAGAGGAGAGATGTGTGTGTGTGTGTGTGTGTGTGCGAGTGTGCGCCAGCTATCGACAATGCTCGGTCGCGATTAACATTTCCATCTGCTGTTCGCGCCTGAGTACCTTCTGCGCCGCTGACTTAAAAGTGTGTGCGTGTGTATGTGTGTGTGAGTGTTTGTGCTTGTGTTTGTGAATGCGTTTGTGTTTGTGATTGTTTTTGTGTTTATGTTTGTGTTTGTGTGTGTGCGCGACATGCTTCACCCCTGCCCCCTCGCTGCCCATGCCTGGGCATGCGCATGGCGTAGTCGAGGTTTGAATCCTTGCTTCTTTTGCTGAGGGGCTGGCCGCGCGCGCTCGAGGTGCCTGGGAACTTTCTCCGCCTCGTTGTTGCGCGCAGGGCCGCGATCGCCAAAAGTAAGTGTGTGTGTGTGTGTTTTGTGTGTGTGTGTGTGCGCAGGTGGTCGGGCGTGCGTGCTTGCGTGCGTGCGTGCGTGCGTGCGTGCGTGCGTGCGTGTGTGTGTGTGTACGTACGTACGTACGTACGTACGTGCGTGTGTGATCCGTCGTTGCCTTTTCGCTGGGGAGGGAGGGGGAGAGAGGAGGATGGTATTGTGGAGGAGGAGAGGAACGAACAGGGAGATGAGTCGCACGGATCGCGTGCCCAGTGAACCTCAATGGGGGATCCTGAGACAGGGCGAGGGGAGAGGGGGGAGGAATGACAGGTGGACGATGGAGGAGGAGGATTAGGAGGGAAATGCTGATATGGGGGATGTGAGGATGTGGTCGGAAGAGAGCGACGCCGCCGACCCTGAGGATTCAACCGCCGAGGTTCTCGCGGGTTTTCAGCTATGGGTCTTCTTGGAGGCCTCGTGGGGCCATCGTGAGGTACCCCTGGGGCGATTTCAGACGCCGCTGGTGCTTGTACCGGGGCCCTCGTTGGGGCGAGCCTGGGGGCTCCCCGGACCATCTTGGAGGGCATCGGTCAACAAACACACGTTTCAAGGCAGCGTCGCCGCGCTGGAGTCCGCAACGTAATCTCTTGGGCCGCTCTTTGGACCGTAGTTGAGGTCTTGCAGCCTTAATGGGCACCTCTCGGGGATCTCTGGGGCCACCTTGGAATCACCTCGAGGCCTCAAGAGCCCATCGGAAGCGAAAGAGCGCGAGGACAGCCATCAGTGTGTTCCTCAGGTTTGTGAGTAAGGTCTGCTTCTTGCCGGTATCCTACAGACCTCTTGGATGCATCTTCGACGCTATCTTACACTACTCAGGAGGTTTACGCCGTTCCGCCGGCCATCTGACGAGATATGCGGCCTCCGCTTTCATACGTGCTATGTGCCGTTTCCCTTCGTGCTCATTGCGTGTAGTTGTTGTTGAGGTGTCCTCTTTGCGTTCCGTGTCTGATGCAAGGCTTTTTCTGCGGTTTCTTGGATGTCTTGGGGGCGACCTCGTGGGAGCCTTCTCGGGGCTACTGATGGCTTTTTGTCAACACTGGGGGCTTCTTTGGGGCGCGTCGGGGGTCTGTAGGTCCATCTTGTGGGGGGGCTCCCGAGCTGGGGGGACCTGCGACTTTCCCGTCCTGTGGGCCTCTCGTAGGCCCCGTTTTGAGAACTTCTTGTGGGCATTGCCATGGGCTGTTCTGGGGGGTCTCGTGGGTCGCTTAGGCAATGCAGACGCCCGTAAAGGCGAGAACACGAACACATGCCAAAAACATGTTTGTCTATATGTGGTGTTCTCTTGGTGTTGAAGATGGTGCAAGCCTGGTCGGTGGCAACACCAACATCTATCCTCCTCGCCCTCACTGTGCGCTGCCCTCAAGGCGCACGCGTCTTTGGGGGGGGGCATCCCGACTCATAGCGCTGGCTTCGTCCTCCAGGGGGTGGGTACAGCAGACTGGCCCTACGGTACGTCCATCCCTCTCGCACTCGGGGTTCTCTTGGGGTGCCTCGGGGGCCGCTGCGGCCGTCTCGAGGCCATCTGGAGCAGGGCTGGACCCAAACGGTTTTTAGTGATTTCGTGGGCCGTTTTCGTTTCGAGTTCGTTTTGCGGTAAAGGCGGATTCGAGACAAAAGTTAGGGTAAACGAAAACAACATGAAAACGAAAAACACCGTTTATGTTCAGCCCTGATCTGGAGTGTTCTCGAGGCCTCCCTGGCATGTCGGAACCCTGCCTGAGCCATCTTGATGGCATCTTGGGCATCGTGGAGGCCACGGGGGGGGGATCCGGAGGCGCCGGGGGCCTGCCGGTGCGCTGCGGAGCTCGCCCCCGCCCCTCGAAGAGGAGGCTGGACCCGCGGGGAAGGGGGAGAATCAGGAGGGAGAAAAACACACACAGACACAACTGTCGTCGATTCCCCAGAGAATGTGCGAGAATATGGGAAGGGGGGGGAGGACAAAAGCCAGGAAATAGAAGAAAAGATCGGGAGAAAGTTTGTTTGTGTGTATTTATCTGTGTGTCCCAGTTCCCCTTCGGAGAAGCACGGAGCAGCCAAGCATCTCGCACGCCTCCTCGCCCTCGGCCAGCGGGGGCCGGCGGATGTCTGTGCCGTCCTGGATCCGGGGGGGTCCTGCGGGAGTCTCCGAGGCCGACCTCCAGCCTCTCGGGGCCAAGACTCAGGAGGGGAAAAAACACACAGACACAATTAATCGTCGATTTCCCAGAAAATATGGGAAAATATGGGAAGTGGGGGGGAAGACAGAAACCCAGAAAATATGGGAAAATATGGGGAATCCTTTTATTTGTGTGTATTTATTTGTGTGTCCTGGGGCCCCTTCAAAGACGCACCCTCTGGCACCTTCCCGGTCCCCCCCCCCTGGTGCAGACGCATGGGGGAGGGGTAGAAGTCGGGGGCGGAAAAGAGGGGGGCGATGACTAGGGGGGGGTGGATATCATGGCGTGGGCCATGATATTTCCCCAGATACCATGGCGCCTCTTCT